TTTTAGCTCCTTCAAGTCGTGATAGATGTTCAGCGACTTGATTTTCTGTGCCCTTACAGTCACGAATTTCGAGGTCAAATTCTTGCGATAGCAGCACCCAATGAATCAGGCGCGGCTTAGACTCCTTCTTCTCAATCAAGTACCTGAGAGCTGCATGATCAGTGTATATAATTACCTTAGAGCCAATCAGATATGATCTGAACTTGTCGAAAGCAAACACCATAGCCAACATCTCCTTCTCTGTCACAGTGTAGTTCAGCTGAGCTCCACTTAGCGTTCTACTAGCATAGTAGATTGGATGCATCAGCTTGTCTTTCCTCTGTCCCAGCACTGCCCCCACTGCATAATCACTGGCATCACACATGAGTTCAAATGGCTGCTCCCAGTCAGGGGCAACTATGATAGGTGCTGTGACTAGCCTCTTTTTCAGCTCCTCGAATGCTACCCTGCAATCATCAGAAAACAAGAAAGGGTGATCTTTTTCTAACAACTTACAGAGAAGGTTGGCAATTTTTGAGAAGTCTTTTATGAATCTCCGGTAGAAACCGGCATGCCCGAGGAAGCTCCTAATTGCTTTGACTGAAGTTGGAGGAGGTAGCTTTGCTATCACATCCACTTTAGCACGATCCACCTCAATTCCTTTGCTTGACACCCGGTGTCCATAGACTATGCCCTCTTGTACCATGAAGTGGCACTTTTCCCAATTCAGAACCAGGTTAGTCTCAATACACCGTTTCAGCACACGAGTCAGATTTATCAGGCACTCATCAAATGAGTTCCCCACCACTGAGAAGTCATCCATGAACACCTCCATTATATCCTCGACCATGTTAGTGAATATGGCCATCATGCACCGTTAGAATGTGGCGGGTGCATTGCATAGGCCAAAGGGCAGCCTCCGAAAGGCATAAACGCCATACGGGCAAGTGAAAGAGGTCTTCTCTCTGTCCTCCGGTGCAATGGAAATCTGATTGTACCCTGAGTACCCATCCAGAAAACAGAAGTGTGACCTCCCTGCCAATCTGTCTAACATCTGATCAATGAAGGGAAGTGGGAAGTGGTCTTTCCGGGTGGCTAGATTTAACTTTCTATAATCCATGCAAATTCTCCAGCCCATGACGGTTCTTGTAGAGATCAATTCATTGTTATCATTCTTAACTACCGTCATGCCACCCTTTTTAGGAACACATTGAACTAGGCTAACCCAGCTGCTATCAGAGATTGGGAAAATGATTCCCGCATCTAACCACTTGATTACTTCTTTCTTCACCACTTCCTTTATATTGGGGTTCAGCCTTCTTTGGTGTTCCCTGGAAGGTTTGTGTCCCTCTTCCAGTAGAATTTTGTGCATACAGTAAGCGGGGCTGATCCCCTTTATGTCTGCCATGGTCCACCCAATGGCAGTCTTGCACTCCTTAAGTACCTGCAAGAGTTGTTGAGCCTGCATATCTAACAAACTAGATGAGATAATAACAGGTAATGTGGAGTCAGGTCCAAGGAATTCATACCTGAGATGGGCGGGCAATGGCTTTAACTCCAGCTTGGGTGGTTCTTCGATGGATGGCTTGGCTGGAGGAGTTTCTCTATTTTCTAAGTGCAAGGGCTCAAATTCTAGAGTTCTATCCCAGAACCCTGTACCCTCTAACGCCAACACCCATTCCGCCAGATCCTCTCCATTTACCTCATCCAAATTCATCAAACATGCAGCAAGGGGGTCTTCAATAGTCAGCCTGTCATCATCAGTCTCTACAATTACATCCACGGCATCAATAAGAGAACAATTGGCGAATTCACTTGGTCGCCTCATAGATTTCTGCACATTGAATGTTATTTCTTCGTCATTCAGTCTCATCTTGAGCTCCCCAGTCTCACAATCAATTAGAGCTCTCCCAGTGGCCAAGAATGGTCTTCCCAAAATTATGGGAATTTCTTCATCCACCTTGCAGTCCAAGATCACAAAATTCACAGGGAACACAAATTTCCCTACCTGAATTAGCACATCATCCAGGATACCAGAGGGTCGTTTCACAGTCCGATCAGCCATCTGCAACAACATAGAGGTGGGTCTAGCTCTCCCAATGCCCACCCTCTTATAAATCGCCAGGGGCATAAGATTGATGCTGGCCCCTAGGTCACACAGTGCCTTAGCAAAAGCAAAATTACCAATAGTGCATGGAATTGTAAAGCTCCCTGGGTTAGACAACTTTTCAACAATTGGTCTAGTCACCACTGCACTACAGGTCTGAGTAAGAGTAACTATGGCCAAGTCTTGGAAATCAAACTTTCTAGACATTAAGTCCTTCATCATTTTTGCATACCCAGGCATCTCCTTTAAAGCTTCAATCAATGGTATGTTTACCTGGATTTGTTTCAGCATTTCAAAGAACTTCTTGTATTGCTCCTCCTTTTGGTACTTAGCCAGCCTCTGAGGGAAGGGTGCAGGAGGTCTCTTCTTCCCAATCATTTGGGATTGATCTTTATCAGCTGCCACTTCAACTACTGGTTCCTGGGCTGTCTCAGCTTCTTTCTCGGTCTCAAGCTGAGTGCTATTTTCTTCCTGAGCAGGCTGGACTGTCACCTCTGTCAGCTTCGTTGACTCATCCAGCTCAATGGGCACTGGTATGAGTGTCTCAGCCTGTCTAGTTTCTCGAGCCCTCTCTTGCTCCACATCCAGATCTCTGTCATTGCGTAGACTCACTGCCATCAGCTGCTTCGGGCCTTGATCTTTTGGATTTATCTGTGTGTCTGCAGGTAATGTCCCATGAGGACGATTGTTCAGAGACATCAAAATTTGGCCCATCTGCACTTCGATATTCTTGATCGCTGCATCATGTGCATCTACTCGCTCATTAATTTTAGCATTAGACCCAATAAATTGCTGCATCATTGCTTCAAGTCTAGCAAACCCATCTTCCTGCCTTCCACCATGCTGCTGCTGAGGGGGGTGATACCCCTGCTGCTGATTCTGATTATTATACCCCTGTGGCCTTGGGTAAGGATCCATATTGTTAGGGGGTCTCATACCTCCCATGTTTCCAGTGTTGAACTGTGGCTGGGCTGGCCTGTACTGCTGATTCTGCTGGCCCCAATTCTGACCACCCTGTCTCTGGCCACCATGATTAGATACATAGTTCATGTCTTCAGGATAGTAATGATGATCAGGTTCTGCATTCCACTGGTTACCAATTGGCTGATTGATGCAAGATGTGCACAAACCCCCATTGGTAGTATCCACGATATGTACCTGTTGCTTCTGCCCTGACTCTTCCACCTTTTTAGTGAGTATATTCATCTGTGTCAATAAGGTGGCCATATTTTTAGCCATAGAGTTGGATTGATCGAAAGGCACTGAGTGCACTACTGGAGTGATAGGTGCATTCCTGGATGTCCATCCCGAATTTTGTGCCACCTTGTCAAACAGACTTTGGCCGTCTCTCCATGTTTTGCTCAGAAATGCTCCACCAGCTGAAGCATCAACAATGTTCTTCACACTATCTGACAACCCCATGTAAAACCGCTGCCCCAACATCAGATCTGGAATACCATGGTGCGGGCATATAACCAACATTCCTTCAAAACGCTCCCATGTCTCATGCAGTGTCTCCATTGGTTTCTGTTTAAAGCTCAAGATTTCATCAATCTGTTGAGCAGTTTTGTTAGGTGGGTGGAACTTGTTATGGAATTGCTTGACTAACTCATCCCAAGTTGTTATAGAATTTATGGGAAGTGAGTTTAGCCAAGTCTGGGCAGCTCCTATCACTGAGAATGGAAACAATAACAGCTTGATTGCTTCCGGAGTTACGTTGGGCTGCCTTTGGGTTTTGCAGATAGACAGAAAATTCTTCAAGTGCTGCAGAGGATCTTCAACTTGTGACCCCGAAAATAGTCCCTTGTTCTGCAACAAGTGCAGCATGTTATTCGTGATCTGGAACGACTCAGCTTGTATCTGTGGGACTACAATCGTTGTGGACAGGTTTTCAGCTGTGGGTTGTGCCCAATCATAGAGAGCAGCCTCTTGCACTATTGGTACAGCTGGGTTTTCCTCGTGATCTCCCATGACTGTTTCGAATTGTGCAGTTGTTGGTTGTTGTTTGTTTTTCCGGTTGGCCCGATTCAAGGCCTTGAAAACTTTCTCGGGATCTGATAATGCTTCAAATACTTCACCAGATCTCGATGAGTTTCTAGGCATGCACCTGTGCAACCAAGTCAACAAACGTTAAAATTTCAATGTAAAAATTGGGTAGAGAGAAAACTGACTACACTAAGAATTTTTGTACTTCTTTCAATCGTAATTGATAATACCGTTAATTCCCCGGCAACGGCGCCAAAATTTGATCACGCCCAACTATGCCTTGTAAAAGGACACGTGGACGTTACAAATATAACCTGAGTATTTATGTCCAGAGTCGAATCCACAGAGAATTAACCTATCAATTACTTTCGTTGGACTTACTAAATTCTACGGAATCAACTTCCTCAAACGTTGTAAATAACAATTGATGGTATTACTAATAAATAAGACTGAAAATAATTAAACAGCTGAAAACTAACTATGCTTGGGTTGTAAACAATTATGAGAAGGTTCTAAGGCTATGATTTCCCCTATTGATGGAATCCCTTCCGGTTATGTTTCATATAGATTCACCAAGACATCTCTATCAATCATGAGCACTCTTTTTACTGTAAATCTCTCCCGAGTAATCACGATAATTTACTAGATGCACTCTCCCGAGATACGCTAGTTGGTTTTGTTTATTACAGCTCACTTTAGATTGCACCCAAGGCTTCGTTATCCCTAAACCCGCCTTTAAACCCGCAGTTATAGATCCCTCTTATACTTTGGGAGTAATGTTGTTAAACAACTACCTAAATATGCACTCTCTCCCGAGTTATGCACACTAAATAGGCACAGCTAATTGAGGATCCTGTCAATTAACTACAACAAATACGTAGTTGAACAAATAGAGATTAAACTGGCAATCTATATTAACATACTCAAGAAGTTCATCCTTCAATAGGTTCCATCAAAACCCTAAGACAAAGGATTTAGCTACTCATAACAAAATAAGAGATAACTACTAAATTGTTCATAATGTAAAATTGCAAGAAATAGAAGAGATAAAAAAAACTATAATGTTTTGGGTGATCTCTCACACTTGTTCTTGCCTCCAAAAGTAGTCTAAAACAAGCTTGAAACAATCTTGGGCGAGTTCCTAAAGCTTATAAGGGTTTTACAAAAGTTTTCCCGAAGTTACACTTTGACCCCCAAATTTCCAGGTGCGTGAACAGTTCACCGCGGTCGCGGCGTGGACCGCGGTGAAGACTGCCCATTCTGTTTTGTGATTTATTCCACCGCGGTCCACCGCGGTCGCGGTGGAATTCTTGCCCAGGCCATTTTTCTGCTCCTTTGTGTTCGGGTACTTCTTGAGTGGGTGTTTTCTTCACATTATCGCCTCCAAAATACTTCGTGTTGCTTCCTCACATATAATATTTCCTGCGAAACCAAAGAACACTATTTAAAGTATTTTGTTGGCAATTTACCTCTAAAACAACAACAAAGCATGATCATATTAAAGTGTAAATATCAACTATATAGCCTACTATCAACCACCTTCATATTCGATAAAGCAAAAAATAATGCGTCATCTATTAGTGTACCAGATATATGCTTTAATTTCATTCCCGTATCTCATTTAGGAAAATGTGCTCAACATTAAGCTAGAAAACCCCCCCGATTCCTGTGTGGACATGTCTTCTGCATTGTTAACTCAAACCTGCTGTAATAATTGGGTTATCTTATACTCTAAGAGACTTACTAAAATTCAGCTTTTCGTTATACACCAAAAATCAATGTAACTTTCTTCTAGCAGTTAACAACTAGTATCCCACTTGTAATGCTCTTAGTCTAATATTTCTAAGGCTAAACCATACAGATAACATTCAGCTCACTTCCAGTTTTTAAAAAGCATGTTAGAGGCTAGAAGCAGAACAAGATTTCTAGCTTTCACCTTTTTATTTCCAAGGCGAGAATATTTTTATGAACATCTTATATTGTCCTCTTATTCTAAACAATTCACTTTTATGAGCATCATTAATGCAACAAAAATTATATAACATAAAGTTCTTTTCCACATTGCCTTCCACTGTCTATAGTAAGTAATGAACTCCAAAATATGCACCCCAATAACTTTCAGGCAGCCATTACTCCAAATCAGATAGAACTCTAGTTATAAACCAACCATCTCAACTCATCATATAGAAAGGTGACCCCAAAAGGAAAATACTGATAGCAGTGCACCGAAAATGAGTCACCTAATTGAATTAGTGAGGTGTGTCGTATTTAAAAAGTAAGAGAATACTATGAAAGATAAAAAATAAATAAATTAAGAACACTCATTAGCAAACACATGTACTTGCAATTGAAAAAAGATGTCCAGTGCTACTTCAAGATATTGAGCTAGAAAAGCAGCTTACTTGAAAATTTTAATAGTCCAATTGTGCAAACAGCACCTCTGCGTCCCCAAGAAGTGAACAAAATAACTCTAGCGAAGAATTTTCTACCTTTTCACAGTTGAAAAATGTCTAAAAGAATGAAGAAAATACCTAAATACATCAAAAACTTCTGACCATGAACCTACTCCTAGCCCATGCTAAACCAACAATTGTACGCAATTAAAATTGCAAAGTCAACATGCAAGATGAGCAATTTCTTTTTTTATATGACATATAATGTTGAGAGTAGTATGACAAAATAATTACCGAGGATCAGTGCAAACAAAATGCGAAAAGGCTGATTGATCACAATTTGCAAAGAAGACGTTAACAAACTTAGTGGAACTATCTTCCTTTCACTGGGAATTTCATCAAACATAAAGGTTGCATCAATGTTCTTACCATGTTATTGATGGTCCACTTTTAGCGGCAACTCCCTATGGCCAATGGCCAATGCTGTAACAGTTAGGGCAGTGAAGCAGAAAATTATTACAGAGGCATTTTAACAAATAACCATGTGCATCACATAATTCACAAATAAAGCATGAAGGAAAAAAAAAACAAATATTCAGAATCAAATTAACACACCATATTAACGAAAATGAAGCAGAAATGTAAATATAATTGCAGAGGCAAAATGTAAATTGTAAATCACAAAATCTAGATTCTAAATCAATAATCTCTGAGAAAAATAAAATCAAATGTTTACATGCTCATTAAGAAAGAAATGCAGAAAAATATATTAACCAGAACTCATGGAACAACATACAAACAGGGAAGTGAGACTTTTTTAGTGAATCGAAGCCAAGGATCAGAAAAAAAGTGAAGGAGTATAAAAGAAATGAAGACAATTTTGTGGAAATTTTCTGTGTATTCATTCTGTACAGAGACAATCTATTTATAAGATTATTCTATGAAAAAATAAAAGAATCAAAATAACCACCTATACATGTGTCTAAATTCTATTTGCTAGCTAATAACAAAATCTAACTGAAGAATATTCTTTTGCTATGTACATATCCCATGTGACAGATTTTGAAGCTTGGGATCTAGTGTTGTGTGATTGTAAAATAAGCTATGGTGTTCTTCATCTGAATGGTTATTATTTAATCTATCATATTTTTGCACATCCGTTGAGATGGGAACACGTTGAGAGATCAATTGAGAGAAGTCCAAAAGTGTTGTTGACCTAGAAGTATCCGAAATGGTCTCTTTTGTCTGAAAACCTAGAAGTTTCCTTCCTTCTTCTTCATGAGAGAGACCAGCTCCCATAGCTGCCATTAACGATTTCTTCTCAACATCCCCCCTCAAGGTGGAGGGTAAAGAAATTACCCCCAGCTTGCCAATAGCAGATCGATGTGAAAGACCTGAGAGAGATTTGGTGAAAAGATCGGCGAGTTGAGACGAGGATGGAACAAAGGAAAGGGAAATCAGTCCAGAAAGGAACTGTTGCCGAACAAAATGGCAATCGAGTTCCACATGCTTCGTTCTTTCGTGGAAGACAGGATTTCGAGCAATGTTGATTGCTCCTTTGCTATTAGAGAAGACCGGCACTGGCAAAGATGGTGAGACAGAGATATCTGAGAGAAGACGCGTGAGCCAAGTGAGCTCGGCAACAACTCGACGCATGGAGCGATACTCCGCTTCTGCTGATGATAAAGAAACAGATGCTTGTTTCTTCGATTTCCAAGAAATTGGAGATCCCCCAAGAGTGATGTAGAAGCCGCTTACAGATCTTCGACTATCTGGACAAGAAGCCCAGTCAGCGTCACAAAATGCTAACAAAGAAAGTGAGGGATCGGAATTTAGAAGAATCCCTTGTCCTGGGTCTGATTTCAAGTATCTCAATACTCGAAGAGCAGCTGTGAAGTGAGAGGACCTGGGCTGCTGCATATACTGACTTAATTTCAACACTGTGAAGGACAAATCGGGCCTTGTGTGGGTTAGATAGTTCAACTTCCCCACAAGGTGTCGATAAATGGTGGGATCACTGAGCAAAGGCCCTTCATCGGCACTCAATTTGACAGAAGGTTCCATAGGTGAAGAAACACAAAGGAGAGCAGAGACACCAAATTCTTGCAATAAATCCAAGGTGAATTTTCTTTGACACATAATAATCCCCTGTTTTTCTCGTAGTATTTCCATGCCTAGAAAGTAATGTAGGCTTCCCAAATCCTTGACCTTGAATTCAGTATTGAGAAAAGACTTAAGATCAGTAATTTCTTCTGCGTCATTACCACTAATGAGAATGCCATCCACATAAACGGCTACAACTGAGATTAGGCTATCCCTCCTTTTAAAAAAACAAGGAGTAATCATTTAGAGATGAGGTGTAGCCCTTATAACTTAAGGCACCTGCAAGACGGGTATACCACTGTCTTGATGCCTGTTTTAACCCATACAAGGATTTCTTCAGTAGACACATATGGTGAACAGTAGGTGGAGATAATCCTGCTGGAAACTCCATAAAAACCTCTTCTTGTAAAGTACCATGTAAAAATGCATTATTGACGCCCATTTGATAAATAGGCCAGTGTTTCTTGACTACAATGGCTAATAAGCATCGTATAGTAGTCATCTTTACCACAGGGGAGAATGTCTCAGTGTAGTCTATGCCTTCTCGTTGGATGTCCCCCCTGACTACTAGTCGTGCCTTAAGCCTTTCAACTGACCCATCTGAATTATGTTTTACCTTGTAAACCCATTTACAAGGTAAGGCTTTCTTTCCCTTTGGTAAGATAACTACATCCCAAGTGTGGTTAGCTTCCAAAGCATCAATTTCTGATTGCATTGTTTGCTGCCACCCAGGATGCTTAGAAGCTTCAGAAAAACCGTTAGGTTCTGAGATAGCTGATATAGACTTTATTACCTGCTGATTATTACTAGAGAGGGCTCCAAAAGAAAAAATATTAGGTTGGGAAGGGTGAACAAAACAGGAGGTGGTCAGGTCTGTGAGGTAGATGTTGTTACAAATGAAATCCTTTAGATGACTAGGCCATGTAGTGACTCTAGTGGATTTTCTCACTGCTGGTGTAGGTCCAGGTGTGGCATGCTCCTCATAGCTAATAGAACCAGAAGGATAGGAAGAATGAGGACATTGAAGGGTAGTGTTGATTGGTGAGTGAGTTCTAGAAGGGCTGGAAGTTTGAGGAATGTTAGGTCCAGGTAAAGGAGAGTTTGCGAAAGGTTCAGGGAAGGTTGTTTCTACTGGCGTGGGGGTAGGGAAGATAAGATCTGGGGATAAGGTGTTTGAGACAAAAGGAAATTTGGTCTCATGAAAGTGAACATCCCTGGACACACAACTCTTTTTATGTCTAATTCTAGCACTTTATATCCCTTTTGACCCATAGGATAGCCCAAGAAAACACATGCCTTAGCCCTAGGCTCAAATTTGTTCCTTCCACCAGAGAGGGTAGATGCAAAACAAAGACATCCAAAACTCCTAAGTATTTCATAAGAAGGTGATTGGTTAAACAATATAGAAAAAGGTGTCTTGCCATGAAGTACCTTAGAAGGCAGCCTGTTGATCAAATAGGTGGCTGTCAATAAGCATTCTCCCCAGTATGATATAGGCACCTTGGATTGAAACAACAAAGCCCTTGCCATTTCTAGAAGGTGCCTGTGTTTCCTTTCAACAATCCCATTCTGTTGAGGTCTGGCTACACAAGATGTTTGATGCAAAATTCCTTGGGAACTAAGAAAGGCAGCCTGTTGGGATCCTTTTCCTAGTTCAAATGCATTGTCTGTCCTTAGTTTTTGGACCTTCACCCCAAATTGCCTTTCAACCATAGTGAGAAAATCCTTCAAAACTGAAAAGGCATTAGACTTTGTGCTTAATAAAAAGGTCCAAGTTCCTCTGCTAAAGTCATCCAGAATAGTCAGGAAGTACTTAAAACCATTATAAGTGGATTCCTTATAGGGTCCCCATGTATCAACATGAATTAATTCAAATGCTCTTTTGAAAGAAATTTGACTCAAAGGAAAAGGAATCCTAGTTTGCCTAGCTTGAGGACAAATTTCACAGAAACATTCAGAATTAGGAAAACTTGAAATAAAACTGAGATGCTTCATTGATGAAAAAGGCAAATGCCCCAATCTAATGTGCCAAAGGTTTACATTCAGAAGCTGCATTTGCAGAAAAAGGAAACCTAACTGAAACTTGACTAAGAACACTTTGATTTGAAGATAAAAAAACTTTTCTCCTTTGAGCTAAACCTATCAACATTAGGCTGCAACAGATATAATCCTTCCTTTTCTTCACCAAAAACTTGAGCCCTCTTCATTAAAGGGGCCTGCAAGAGACATAGATTATAAGTAAATAAGACTATGTAGTGAAATTGGACACAAAACCTATTGACTGATAATAGATTATATTTGAAACTGTGAACATGAAGAACATTTTCTCAAATGAATTCAACAGAAATAGGAAGTTTCCCAGTATGTGTGACTGTCACCTTAAAAGAATTGGGTAGATTTATATGTAAAGGGACTGGAAGGGGTTCTAAGGAAATGAAAGCATTTGAATCAAAACACATATGTTCTGAAGCTCCTGAATCAATTATCCAAGTGTTAGTGTTGAAAACTGAAAAACAACTTCCAGTGTATTTCATAATAGTACCAGCTACTGCATTTGTGTTGATTTCTGAATTGAAACTCCCTGCATCTGGAACTTTTACTTGCTTTATCATCTGGATCAATTGTGAAAATTGATCCTTGGAAAGATGCTGATTTAGAACTTCAGAATAGTTGCTTGCATCCTCTCCCTGTTCCCCTATTATAGCTCCATTGCTTCTAATTGAACTTAAGAACCTCTAGGATTGGTGAATTCAAAATCTTCAGGAAAACCAATGATTCTATAGCAATCTCCCATTGAATGTCCTATTTTCTTGCAATGGGTGCAAGATAAGTTAGGATTGAACTTGTGCTTCTTTCCTTTTGCAGCAAAATTTCTTTGTGGAGTGTTCCCATTTTTCTGCATATTGCTTCCTGATTTTTGAAATTGCATGTTGTTCCCTGGTTTTTGAGATTGCTGCTGAAATTGCCCAGAGTTTCTTTGCCCTTGTTTGTTGTTTCTTTGCACAAAATTTCCTTGTGCTGCATGGTTAGCTTGACTGCCCACCATAAAGGATGAAGAGTCAGCAGAAAGAAGGGGATTCATATAGATCTCTCTCTGACTCTCATCCTATAATACAAGAGAATAAGCAAGGTCTAAGCTAGGTAAAGGGTTCATCATCAAAATGTTTCCCCTTGCCTGTCCATAGACATCATTTAAACTCATAAGAAATTGTATAAGTCTTTCATCTTCAAGGGATTTCTCCAGTTTCTGTTTTCCAGAACACACACAAGCACAAACACACTTAACATCACAGACTAAAGAGTCTAATTCATCCCACGGACGTTTGAGCTTTGTGAAGTACCCTGCTATATCACTTGTTCCTTGTACTAAACAGGATAGTTCCTTGCGCAGGTGGTACAACTTAGCTCCATTTGATCTTCCAAATCTGTGCTCAAGACTGGTCCAAAGCTCTTTGGTAGATTTGGAATAAATGACACTATCTCCAATGTCCTTGGATAGTGAATTTAGTAACCAGGAAGTCACCATGTTATTGCATCTTGTCCATGGCTGATACTCATTGGAAATGATAGTAGGAGCAGGGCATGTTCCATCAATGAAGCCCAACTTGTTCTTTGCTGAAAGTGCAATCAGAATTGATCTCCTCCAGCCTTGAAAACCTCTTCCATCAAATACTGCATTCACAAGACTCATCCCTGGTGCATCTGATGAGTGGAGAAAATATGGGTTATTTGGATCAAAATTGACTGCATTAGCAGATGAAGACTGAGCAACAATGGTGTCTGTTGTTCCAGTCATGGTGAAGGATTATGACGCAGAAAACTGAAAAAGAAAGAAGCTGATTTTCCCAAAAAGAGCTACTGCTCTGATACCATGAAGGAGTATAAAAGAAATGAAGACAATTTTGTGGAAATTTTCTGTGTATTCATTCTGTACAGAGACAATCTATTTATAAGATTATTCTATGAAAAAATAAAAGAATCAAAATAACCACCTATACATGTGTCTAAATTCTATTTGCTAGCTAATAACAAAATCCAACTGAAGAATATTCTTTTGCTATACACATATCCCATGTGACAGATTTTGAAGCTTGGATCTAGTGTTGTGTGATTGTAAAATAAGCTATGGTGTTCTTCATCTGAATGGTTATTATTTAATCTATCATATTTTTGCACATCCGTTGAGATGGGAACACGTGGAGAGATCAATTGAGAGAAGTCCAAAAGTGTTGTTGACCTAGAAGTATCCGAAATGGTCTCTTTTGTCTGAAAACCTAGAAGTTTCCTTCCTTCTTCTTCATGAGAGAGACCAGCTCCCATAGCTGCCATTAACGATTTCTTCTCAACAAAAAGATACAAGGTATGAATGAGAAAAACTTTGTAACTTAAATTTTTTAATATGAACAAGACCAAAATTTTCCATTGCCTGGTGGAGATGCAATGAGATCCAGCCCTTCAGTTCACCCTCTTGGAAATCTCTAGAAGAACTGATGAAGAAAGCTGCTCATGACACGTAGAGCACACATGTTTGTTATTTGAGGTGGGCGGGTCCCAATGAAATTGTTCAAGTCAATTTAAGTGTACACATAGATAATGCAAAAAGTACAAATTGAAAAAGCTGTGTTCGTCCTTTCCCTTCTCATTTATATATAGTAGTAAAGTAAAGTAATAATGATATTGTTAAGGGAGATTGGCACTTATATACAACTCTAATCTAATTGGCAACCATTTAACTAACAATTGATGTTGAACCTGTAGCAAAAATATAATGGCAACAAGTAACTCAAACATTTGCTTCTCTTTCATCATATTTTTCTCAACCTACCCCAAGTCTTATCTCCTACAACCCCTCAAATAACCCATAAAACTCTCGAGGAAGGTGTCCTCGATAAACCGTAAAAATGGTCGATCGCCTGAGAGTCGCATTTCCGGCATATTGATTAATTCTATTTTTCTTTTAAAATACGTTGCTTACTTTTCTGCAGGGGTGAGTTATATTCATTGGAAACACCTGAATAAATCAATATGCAAATTTTGAGAAAAGATTGAAAGTGACTTGGACCGGTTTGGAATCAAATTTAAAGCTAAAATTGACGTGAAAAACATTATTGCGACAATATATATTATGTATGTGTATATCACTCACGAATTTTCATGGATATACACATATATATATGATATATAGGAGATATACGAATATACATAAAAGATATATACATATACAGACAGTGGGATATATACAAATATACACAGCCTCAAAAACCCATGTTCTCCATTTCCATACATCCTTTGCTACACCTCCACCACAAAACCATCATAACCACTTGCGTCCATACTCCAAATGGAAAACACAACCAATGAGCAAAAGTTTGAACAAATGGTTGACCAGAGAACCTCATAACCTTGACTTAAATTTTTATTTTTGAGAATAATGTAGTTGGGATTTGTTAAAGAATTATGGTAGGTGTATAAGGAAATGGAGAGTGGAAAAATAATTCAATCCATATTATTAAGTGAGATCAGTTTTTTTTTAAATGATTCTGGAAAGGCAGTCATGGTGGTTTGATGTGAAAAGGTGGTGGTGGAAATGGCGGGAAAGGGTGTAGAAATGACACCAAGTTGCCATTCTAGAGGGATATTATTTAAAAATTAGTCAGTGTGTCCTAAATTTCAGTTTTTCAATTCAAATTTTCGGGACTTAAATATTCTGAATTATCCTGAAATTAAGATTTCTAATTTAAAATTTTAGAATAAAATAAATACTAGCTAATCTCTAAATAACATCCTAGAGAGTGGCTGTATGTGCACTTGCCCAGGGTTTGAGATAAATGGAGGAGAAGTAGTGTTTAATAGAGGTGAAGAAATCCATTAAAAATGTCAAATTAGGATTAACCAATTGTTTCGTAGTGGCTATAGATTGCTAAACTTTTTACTGAAAATGTCAAATTGGGATTAACCTTGCTAGTAATTAACTTGGGCTATATAATTCCAAATAGCACGATATATCCAGTTTTCGGACTGGTCATTCAAAAATAGCCGTCGTTTGCAAAGTTATTGAAAATAGCCATTATTTGCTGCAACAGGGACCGGTCCAGCATAATATACTGGAGATCGGTGCACCTGCGTATGAACTTCCAGTATATTATACTGGAACTCCAACACGCGGAAAGTTCCAGCATAATATACTGGAGATTGGAGCACCTGTGTATGAATTTCCAGCATATTAAGACCGGTATATTATACTGGAACTCCAGTATATTATGCTGGAGTTCCAGTATACTTATGCTAGAACTCCATTATAATATGCTGGAGTTCCGGTATACTTATGCTGGAACTCCATTAGTATACTTATGCTGGAACTCCAGTATATTATGCTGGTGTATTTTTTGGATTTTGAACAGTGTTTTCGTTCAGATTTATTTTTACATGAAAAGTGGCTAAATTTATTGCTTTTGAAATTGTGACTATTTTTGAATGACCACTTATAAATCTGGCTATTTTTGAATTTCTCCCGATTTCTTAGCCAGATGGTACCTTCGTGCTAATTTCTCTTTGTGTTAATATAACTAATTGCTGTTCTTTTAATTTGGCAACAATAAATTGAAGTTAGTTTTTTTTTTTTTTTTTTTAACAATAGGCCAAAATTAACTACATTGAATCTAATAACGTCCACCACCGCCATAATTGCCACCTCCGTAACCACCGCCTCCTCCTTCACGTCGGCCACCTCCGTAACCACCGCCGCCTCCCTCACGTCGGCCACCTCCGTAGCCGCCGCCGCCTCCTTCACGTCGGCCACCTCCGTAACCACCACCGCCGCCTCCTCCACTTCCACGAGCCTGTGCTTCGTTAACGGTAATGTTACGGCCGTCAAGTTCCTGACCGTTCATCCCTTCGATTGCATCCCTCATGCATTTCTCATCCTTAAAAGTAACAAAGCCAAATCCTCTAGATCTGCCAGTTTCTCTGTCATTAATGATCTTCGAGTCGAGAACTTCGCCATATGTACCGAAAGCATCAGCTAAGGTTTTATCGGTGGTAGCCCATGCGAGCCCACCAACGAAGCAACTGTATTCTACTTCAGCAGCCATTTTACTATACTGAGAAACGAGAGAGAAGGATAACCCCTAATGAAAATATCAGGAAGAAGAGATAATTGAAGTTAGTTTGATTAGTTCTTTTCCTTTTTAATAATTAGTTTTACTTTTTAAAGGTTATTTGGTTAGTTAGTTCATTATTTATGCTTAAATTTATATAGAAAATTTAAAATTGTTATTAGCCTAGAGTTTGATTTTATTTGTTTTTTGTACAAATACAATTTTATCAGGAATGAAAACTTAATTTAGAGGTAAAAATTTACAATTTTATTAATGAGTAAAAGTAATAATCAATAAATATTAAGAGCTTTATCCAAGTAAACAGTGGCGGATCCACCTTTGAACATATGGGTGCTGAAGCACCCATTGGCTTTCACCAAATTATGCAATATATTCATAAATAATACCTAAAAATTTTAATAATTAACCTTGAGCACCCACTATGACCACGTTTGGCCATCTAGAATTTAAACTAAAATCAGTGAAGCACCTACGACCTATAAATCCTGGATCTGCCACTGCAAATAAATTTATAACTTTGTTACGGAAAGTTGAACGTCATTTCCAATAAATATTGTCAAAATATGATTTGCTTTTACAAAAGGACTAAGTTTTTTTTTTGATAAATAAAGACATTTTATTAAAAACATAGTACTTAGTAGTCATTACAACATGAGATTTGTCTAGGCCACATAGTGTCTATCCCATCTCTATCAAAAGCTGAAATAGCAAAATTAGGCGGATAATAGTACAACATTAGATTAGCAAAAGAGTCCAAGCTGCATCCGTTCTTGGCTAAGGTGTCCACTACTCCATTAGCTTCTCTGAATGCATGCTTCAAAGTTGGCGTACCCGCCTCAGATAATAGGTACCTGCAATCATCAATAATATTTTGATAAAGGCAATTATCGTTATTTATCAAGTTGATCAGTTCTCGACAGTCCGTTTCAATTACTAAAGGGGTTAGTCTCTTTTGGATGGCTAGTTTCAAACCTTGCAATAGAGACATGGCTTCCATTTGGATATTTGTAGCATAGGCAAAAACCCATATTGAATCCTAGTATCCAATTGCCATTGCTATTCCTAAATATTCCTCCTATACCTCCCCTTCCTGGGTTCCCTAGGCAGGATCCGTCTATGTTTAATTTATAGGTCCCCTGTGGCGGGTGGTTCCCATTTTATATGGATGGTCTTTTTTGGTATATGAGAAGGGCTCCATTTGCTTAAGAAGAGGAATTCTTGGGCACTGTTGGTTACTTTGATAATATTAGGATACGAATTATTCTTTTGAAAGATCTTTTCATTTCTAGTGGTCCATAAATACCAGAGGAGGAATGGTATCAAGACTGGCCAGCTGATGTAATGATTAAAGCATTTATTAGATTTTAGTTGGTGCTTTAGCCAGTTGAAAGTAGTGAGCTCATCGTCCGACTGTGGGTAGTTATGCTTTATATGGCACTGTCTCCAAATTGCCTTTGAGTAGGTGCAATTGAAGAGCATGTGTTTGATGTCCTCTTTTTCCACTCTACATATAGTGCATGTGTCAGAGGTGCAGATATTAAGTTTAGCCAGGAGGGTGGCTGTTGGGAGTCTGTTAAGGACAAGTAGCCACATGAAGTGTTTTAGTTTGTTTAGGATATTGCTTTTCCAGATCCACTTAAAGTATAGGTTATTATCTACTATAGTGGTATCTTGGTCAGATAGTACATCGTAGGCCGCCTTGATGGAAAAGGAGCTGTATCCTGGGGAGTTTCATGTAATTTTGTCCCTACCTGTTTGAGATTGTTGGATATAGGTGCTGCGAATTTTTTGAATTATGTCCTCTGGCAGTTCGAAGGATAGTTTAGAGAGGTTAAAATAGCCATCTTGTATAATGAATTTTACATGTAAATCTACTTCTTCTTTTTGGAGAGGCTCATGGATAAGATTTCTTAGTGAGTCTCCGTGGTTAATCCACCGGTTGTCCCAAAGTTTGATATTCTCCCCATTTTCTATGATCCATTTGGTGCCTTTTTCACAGACCTTTATCCCTTTGCAGATATTTTTCCAGATGTGGGAAGTCGATGGTCTGGGGTTGAATCTGTTATTAGAGTTGGTTTTCCTTTTATATTTGCTATGCAGTACTTGGACCCATAAGGCCTCCTTGTTGTTAGAGTATCTCCAAGCCAAGCTAGTACTGAAAGCATCATTTTTGCATTGAGCTTTATATATCCCTAAGCCTCCTTTACTTTTTGGTTTGGTGACTCTGTTCCAATTTAGCAGGTGGCATTTCCTTTTTTCCTCCGTACTTCCCCATAAGAAATTTCGTTGAATGGAGTCAATCTTATTTAGGGAAGCTTTTGGGAGGTTGAAAATTTGCATGGCATGATTAGGAATGGCTGCAAGAGTTGCTTTAATGAGGGTGATTCTTCCTGCTAGGTTTAGGAAGTGGGTTTTCCAGCCTTTTAGTCTGCTATTAAGCCTATCAATGATGAATTGAAAGTCTTTCTTTGACAGTCTTTGGTTTGTCATGGGAAAACCTAGGTATTTACCAACTGAATGAGAGATTTTGATGTTAAGACACCTGCTAAAAAAGGAATGTTTGTCGGGGGGGGGGGGGTATTTTTTGAGAAGATTACCCTAGATTTGCTGAAGTTTATGAATTGGCCAGAAAAGGTACAGAATTTGTTGAGTGTATCTATGAGTGAGTCACAACTTTTTTGATTAGCTTCTATCATAACGATGAGGTCGTCAGCAAAGATTAGGTGGGATAGTTAGGGGCCCTTTTTTGACAGGACTATTGGGTCCCATCTACAGCAGTCTACTTCATGGTTGATAAGCCTAGATAACATTTCCATGCAGATTATGAATAGATAGGGGGACAGGGGATCCTCTTGCCTAATTCCTCTAGTGGGGTTGAAGAAGTCAGTTCTTGATCCGTTAATGAGAATGGAGGTGGATGTGGAGGACACGCAGGACATTATTAGCTCAATTAGGTCGTTAGGGAAATTTAGGGATTTCAGGGAGAACCTGATGAAAGACCATTCTAGTTTGTCAAAAGGACTAACTAATAGAACTTAAGTAAGTTCAAACAAAATAGAACATATTGACGAACACTCTTCTCTAGGAATTTTGGTTTTCTTTTCATGCCTCAATTTTGTTAGAAAGTTCTGTATCAGTGTGTGAGTACTAAAAAATTTTAAATTTCGAAGAATAAGGCATCTACAAGCTACTTTACTAAATACTGAACCCAAATCAGTTCAAAACTTGTATATTGATATGATTAGGCGAGGTAAATGTGAAAGTACATATAATCTAATCCGATTTTGTATATCAAACTGACTTGCCAAATATGAAAGTACCGATAATCTAATTATATTTATTATAATTTACATACACTTAATATTTTTCTTAAAACTTAAATAAAAAGGTATTATTAAACTGGATTAACTACCCACAAGTTTACGATAAAACTAGAAGTATTAGAAAGGATTAATATATTTTCTATCTTCTATTTTCTATTCTCTCTTGCTAGATACTCTTATTAGCAATTAAGCTAAATCTCCAACTGTATAATGCTAAAACCTTATTCCATATGTTTTCAAATCTTACAAATAACCAGAATTTCAAGCAGTAAAATTAAGAATCTCAAAGAAAGAAAGGTTATAAATTATAAACAAAAATGTCACCATATTAACTTGTAGAGTTTTTACATTTTAATAAAGAACAAATATTTCCGAAAAAGGGTTTTGACTTCTTATTATGGACCAAACCTTGTTTGCATAGATTCTATTTTCAACCTATTTTACTTTTATAACTCTCGAAATTGAGGTAATTTAGGTGTTCACTCTGATGTTTTTCAAATTGAGATTGCAAACTCATTTTTTGTTTGACTTGTATGTGAAAAAGTCAACATGTTTTGGAAATTTTTTTAACACTCAAAGTTTCAATTTTCAAATAGTTAAAAACTTCAAAAACTAGTTTTTGGAGCTTTTGAAAGATCCGAGATTAGAAATCCTTTTTTAAAAATTTAAAATTTCAAAAACTAAGTTTTCAAACTTAAAATTTGAAAAATTTCAAATGTTCGTTATCAATAAGGTATATCAAAAGATTAGAGTCCATTCATAGCTTGTTTGGATGGTTGTTACCTATTGTATTGTATCATATTATTTTGAACAATATTTATTTTGATTATCTTAAATTTTATTATATCGTATCGTTAAATCTGTCTATGTAACGACGAAAAGTGCCACTGTATCTAACGATTGATTTGGTGTGGTGGCGTCGTTACCTTATTTTTTTTCTCATTTTGTCCTTCTTTATTATTAAATAATAATAATTTATCTTTTGCCCTACATTTATATATGATAATTCTACTTCGTATCCTATTTTTTCTTAGTAATATTGCAAGTTTATTGTTCATATTTTCTGGTGCGTGACATCATGACATGATGGCAAACGATACATATCCAAACATTATTTTCATAAAACAGACAATACAATACAATACAAGACAATACAATACGATACATTATGAAACGACATGTATCAACTATCCAAACAAGCTGCTAGTTAGCTGATTATAAATAGTTGATAAGTTTTACGTATTGAAAAGTATTATTTTAGTGTTAAAATAAATTTATAAATAAGAAATTACGTCTCTGAATAGAAGTGAAATAATGTGTAATAAGCAGTATGTGTTTTGTGAAAAAATAATTATAAGCTACTTATTTGTTAAAATAACTAGAATACCCTTAATTTATTTTGAAAAAAATAAATTTAAAAGTTTATTTGTAAGAAAAAAGGGAGTAATAATACATATATGGAGTGAAGAGGAAGTTACGTTTTTTTTTTTTTTGTGAAGTATTTTGAAAATTAAATTTTTTATTAAGTATAAAATATTTAAAATCTTGGTCAAACATCCCAATTTATGATTTTTGGCTATTTTTTTTGCGCTTAGAGTGGTTGTCGAACTTATTGATAAATCAAATATAAGCTGATTTGGCAAACTTATAAGCTCCAAATATTCTCTTAATCGAGAAATTAATGATATTTTCAATACGGACAACAACTCCCCTCTT